CATACAAAAGATCTCTGGAAATTATAAGTGGTAGACTGATTTTCTTTGGCTGGAATTAATATTGATTATGCTCTCTGTTTAAATTGTTTCTTACTGATTGTCTATCTGTTGCTTATTATTATTTCCACCAACTCCTCTTTGCAGGAAAACCATCCTGAGAGGTTCTAACAGATATGCCATGACAGACTAAAAGTGGAGTGAGTTTTGAGGACTTAACATTGCGTGTCCCCTTAGGAATGGATGGCATGTGGCAGAGGAAGAGAACAGCACGAAGCTTGGGAAGGCTTGGAGGAAACAAAAGAGGGCTGTTTAACTGTATTTATTCCATATTTTCCATTGTGTTTATAACGATCTGTGTCAACATCAGCCAAACAGAGATCTCGTTGGCAACTGCTGACTTCACGTATTCTGAGAATGTATTATGGGGGCGCCTGGGTGGCTCAGACGGTTGAGCGGCCGACTTCAGCTCGGGTCACGATCTCACAGTTCCTGGGTTCGAGCCCCACGTCGGGCTGTGCGCTGACAGCTCAGAGTCTGGGTTTTGTGTGTCTCCTTCTCTGTGCCCCTCCTGGGCTCATGCTTCCTCTCTCTCTTAAAGTACTAAAAATTTTCTCAGTACACAGCAGCAGTCCCCCTTATTTAGGAGATGCATTTCCAGACCCCCAGGAAAGGCCTGAAATTGCACAGAGTACCAAACCCTATGTATACTATGTTTTGTCCTACTTATATATACATATATGCCTATGAGAGTTTAAGAGATCAGCAATAATTACTACTAATAAAATGGAACAACTATAAAATATACCCAAGCTCATGAGTGACCTGGACACGATGACCAGTGTCAGGCTCCTGGGGACCTTCTGGTGCCGTTCTGAGTCCAGCTCAAGGGGCGGAACATGTGCTTCCAGACCCCGCTGACCACGGATCGCCCAGACCAAGACCAGGAAAGCAAAACCACAGAGAAGGGGTCTACCATACATGCCTGTTGCCCTTTCACCCTTTTCAATCATTTATTTGTTATACATCCCTTTCAGTCGAGTTTACTGTCTCACTAAACACCATGTACACGACCGCCTGCTCTGTGTCACTGAGTTAGGTCTCTGATGGCAGGTGTCTTCATCTCTCCAAATGAACTCCCTCTAATCCTGTGGTTCCATTCCTCCAGCTCTCGGTTCAGAATGTTTCGTGATAAATCACAGACACGGTTTTCGCTTACGGTTTGTCCTATTTTCTAATTCGATGACTTTATAACAGTGTGTTTTGCCACAGTTCATGTCCTTCCTCCCTAAGGACACGCCTCTGAGAACTCGCGCAAGAGGACAGTGGGTTCAATCAGCCGGTGTCAGACACTGTGGCTCAGTGACCCTGCCCGTGCCTCCTACTTCTCGTCCTGCCGGAGAGCTGACCAAAGCACCGTCATTGCGACCTTTCCTTGTCTTCTGCTACTTCTGTTTTTCACAGCCTCTCCTGGAGAGCTTTGAACACATGAAGAGCTGTGGCCCCCAGTTCGAAAGCTGCCCTGGTCTTGAAAGAACCCACACAAAAGATGCACGTCTCTCTTCCTACCCTTAGGAATGTACCTCCTTCCTCCTTTAGTCCCTCGTCCAGCTGAGGAGGCCCTGGAGAGCACAAAGTGCACAGGCAGGCAGTGACAAATGTCCATCCTTATGTTTAGAGGAGGGGTGGTGCTTTGCAGCTCATTCTAGAATGGGCACTGTCATGGGGAAGTGCACGTCTGTGAGTTCTCGTTACTCCAGAAACTGTCTGATGATATGGAAAATGCCTAAATGTGCTGTTTTTCATTATTCATAAACATTAACAGATCCCATCCCCAAAGCACAAGAACTCCTCTGACTGCTGAGTTATATAATATTTTTCTCTTAGGCATTTTAATAAGAATCAGTAAGTTTGTAGATTTTGGTGTTTAGAAGGAAATAGATTAATTTTCTACCTAAAATCATATAAAGAAACATAAGTCCATTGAAGCATTAACAGACATGAAATGTGTCCTGTGTTTTATTTGACAATTCTAATCACTGATAAGTAACTCAAGTTTAAATCAGTATACATATTTTCATTATTTTTTTAAAGCGCTCACTAGTCTGAATTGATATTTCATTAAGTCCTTTTCTCTAATTCTTTGTCATATATCTTGTATGTTCTTGGTTTCCATGAGACATGGATTTGAAAAGAATGTGATTATTTTCATGGACGCTATAGAAAAATGCTTAATTTAGGGTGTTTTGTGTTTGAGTTTGTCTCTATTTTCTCTGGCAACAGGTGATGGGGGGGGGTCCCAAACGAAAGTGGGAGACACCCATCTGGTGGGCAAACAAGGAAGCTTGCCTTGGCTGGGGCTTCTCATGAACCAGTGCCCATGGGTGGTGGAGACAGGTGAGGGCCACAAAATCACACGTTGAAAAGCAAGGAGATAAAACTACTATTCTGATGTACTTAACCTTAGTCATTCTGAAGAAACAAATGAGAGGACATTAAAACACACGTGAAAATAATAACAATTATTATTTTTTTAGTGTTTCTTAATTTTTGAGAGAGAGAGAGAGAGAGAGAGAGAGAGAGAGAGACTATGACAATGAGCAGGGGAGGGGCAGAGAGACAGGGAGACACGGAATCGGAAGCAGGCTCCAGGCTCTGAGCTGTCAGCACAGAGCCTGACGCGGGGCTCGAACTCACGGACCGTGAGATCATGACCTGAGCCGAAGTCGGACGCTCAACCAACTGAGCTGCCCCAACTCTTAAATGTCATCAAATCCTTCAATACACACATCATAATTTATTTTTACATGACTATGAATTGGGGGAAAAAAAGAAATTATTCACTTTTCTTTTTTCCTTTCAGCAAAGGTAGAAATGTGTCTCTGGATTTTCTTCCCCACTGTAAATATCGAACATTATGTTATGCGAGCATTTTATGTATGAAACAGTCACACAAGACCTCAGAGATAAATGCTTACAATGAATAAACCTTGATACAAATTATTTGACACACAAATTAAGCTGATCACAGTACCTTTAAATTCAATCGCAAACCCCGACAAGCCCACGGAAGCATCACTCCGAAAAGCCAGAAAAAGACTATTTCCACTACTCTCTATTCTTTCTGGGGCTTGAGAACCCTGGAAACTTCCAAGGAGAGGTCTGTTGGAATCTTCTCCTTCATAGATATGCAGGAAATCATAACTGGGCTCCATGTTGAAACTAAAGGAAAGAGCATTCATCAGGTTCGGCACCGAACACGTGTCTCGTATTTCCTCCAGACTACAAGCACACAGTGAGTTCACTTACCTTCATGCAACGAATTTTAAAAACCCAAACAACCCAGAAGTTAAATGTAAAAATAATTTAAATGTGACAGTAGCAATGTGTGTAACTAATATGAATGATCAATACTGTTAGCGTGAGACATAGTGACTGCTATATTCAAAATGGTAGGAGTTTATACTCTGGTTTCCCTTCAGATCGTATAAATCTTTCATCTTTTACAAAATGGGAGAAGTCTGAAGATATCTGTAAGACAATGATTCCTAATAACGTGGACAGAATATCTCTTCCCTGCACCCAGGAAACTGCTACAGAAATATGGTTTCAAAGAAAGGGGTTCGAAAGGGAATTCCCACCAATATTTGATTTTTACGTGAATATTTTTAGTTTGAAAAATAGGTATCCTCGATATCGCTATCCTTAATTTTTTTTTTTTAATTCTCTGTTTGTTTTTACTTTTAAAAATGCAATTGCCTCTACTTGGTTGGGTCAGTCGGCTGACGTCAGTCATCCCTGGGATGGCACGAGGGGTGGTAGGCACCCACTCCGTTTCATGTTCCTACATCATTGACTTTTTCCAATCTTCTCTTCCCGCCCCACACCCCCCGCCCCCCCTGCTCTCTCCACTTCTCTCTCTGTGTCTCTCTCCCCTAGTATTAAATACCCTGGTAATCCCCAAAGTTCTCAGGTGGGATGTGGCTTTCCGTGTCTCTGCCATTTTTGATGAGAAGGCAGATGACGGTCTGGGCGCTTCAAAAACGCGCACACTCTCAGGTGAAACACTAAAGCTGGAACAGACGATAAGATCTCGAGGAGATCAGAATTAACCGACAAATTAGACAGAGGTTTCAAGTAATGCCTTCTGACTGGCCTTCCACCTCTTCCTCATCTCTGAGTCGGGGCCTTTGTGTCTTCAGCAAGGACTCATTCCGAGCAGCGTCCACTCTGTCTCCCTTCAGTTGGCAGCGTATTTGGATAATAGGGATAGTGAGTCAGGAAGCTTTATCATCACTAACATGGACGTTGTTTAAGTGGCTCTAGTTTATCTGGAGATCCAGGTGATGAAATAGGAACAAAAGGTCTCTCCAGAAATTGCCCCAGGTGTTCTGAAGGAAGCCACCGAGAGTGGGCACCACGGAGGACCCAACATTAACACTGCACCTCATCCTGAATCGTGCCATCCCAGTTTATGCCAAGGCTACACTGGGCCCTGCGGGAAGTCCCTGGACATAGTTTTTAAGGGCGCTTTAAAAGATTCCTTAGTCTGCTTATTTGACAAATTCCTTAAAAATCACAAATGAAGGAGTGAAAAGATCAGGCATGACCAAACCGAAAGGTGTCAGCAGGAATTGTATCAAACAGAAGAATCTGATTGGAGGAAGGATTTTATTTGGGACACTTTATAAGAATGCTATTAGAAGCTGGGGATGCTGTGTCCCCATTAACCATTAGAGCTCATTACTGTTATAGATTATATTTGAGCACTGGAGATACACTGAGTCACAGAAAGAAAATATAGTCTGACCTCTCTCTCTCGCTCTCTTTTTGGATATACCATAATCCATGCACTAAAGTCTGGAGTGACATTTGTAATTCATCATGATTCTACTTGTAAAATCCATTTTTTATGTCCTTTTTAAATTTATTTTTACTTTTTAGAGAGGGGGAAGGGGCGGAGAGAGAGGGGGGACAGAGGATCCGAAGCGGGCTCTGCACTGACAGCGGAGAGGCTCGAACTCACGAACAGTGAGATCATGACCTGAGCCTAAGTCAGACGCCTAATGGACAGAGCCACCCAGGGGCCCCTGTAAAATCCATTTTTAATTCTGCACGATCCATGAGACCCAATAAATAGGCCAAAGTGTGGCCCAGCTTTTGAACCAAATGTAATCTGAGTCTCAATGTGTATCTTCGGCTCCCCGGTCTACAGGGACCTGTGATGAGTCACCCTTCCCAAAGACCCCAAGACCCAGGAAAGGCCTTGGAGTGAACGTTCCAGGTCACACAGTGCTTGGTCCTTCCTGTCAGTCGTGCCATCCGCTCCCCAGCCCCTTAGAAGCACACCTGACTTTACTGAGTCCCTATAAACCGTGCGTCTGGGCAGCACGTGTCAATGCCAGCGTCTCTTTGCTTGGGGAGGTGAAATCCTGTCCCCACCCAGCACTTCTGGCTCCCGGCTCCCATCCACTGAGTAGACCCAGTCATAAGGCTTGAGGGTCACTCCCACCTGAGCACCTGCAGCTTGTCTGGTTGTCCGCGTCTTGGGAGAAGTCACACATGTGTGATTTTTCCGTGACACTGGGTCAGCTAATGAGTTAAGAATCTAGAAGTTGGAAGAAAACTTGGAGGTTTTCTACTTCACCTCTCTTCCAGAGAGGTGGGCAAAATAAATAGGAAAAACAAAAACCTCTATACAGCTGCTGTCCGTCTATACTATCAAATGGATTTTGCCCCGAGGGAACCTTGATAATTGGTCACTATGACACACCTGAGGGTAGGAAACTCCTACTTCTAAGGCCCCATGTTCTCTAAAAGGCTTTCAATTGTTCATTTACTTCTAATCGCACGGTGCCAGAGGCATCTCCAGGTTTTAAGGCATTGGTAGAAGTTAGCATTCACAAAACCTACAGAGATACCCAAAAATCCAGCTGCAAATGTTCGGTAGTTTTGCACAAGGGCTGAGTGAGTGGCGTAATAAGGGTTCATCACTGGGTAAATTTATAGCAGCTTGAGTAAATTGAAGACATGATGGCTTATCAGGATGACTTAACATTTGGAATCAGGGACATTTAAAATTATACTGATTCAGATCCCATCAGGAGGAGAAAGTGAAAGATAATCACGGCCAGGCCTGGGTTGGTGACGTAAACATCAGAAAAGGAAGCGTGTTCAACTGACAGATAGATATACTTAGACCACTTCACCCTGGAGAGCTAAGAGATCAATAAGATGGCCTCTAGAACCAGGTGCCTTTTAAAAAGTCCCTTCATTTAGTTCAATCAATAATCAAAATACAAAGGCGAAGATCGTGGGATTTGGAAAAAACGCAATTATCATACACCAGATACGAATAATAGGACAGTCCTATAGAATTTACATTTATAAAATAATCACAATGTTTGAAACTCCGTCATCTGGTTTAGCAGGGATAAGTCAGCAATCATTTTTTAAAGAGTAATGTCTATTAATTCAGACTTTACAGCAACCACATTTAGAGGAATTTCTATTTTCAAAGTTCTATGAAGTCATGATATTTCAGTGATGGTATAACAGGGCTACCTGTGGGAACGTCAGACAAGATGTATTGCGGAAACGATTTCGTTATCACGCATTTAGAGAAATACTCCTATTGTCTCTGTAGTGCCCTGATGAGAAATCATACTAAGTGTATCTGTACCACTTTTTTATTACTTTTCTTGAATATTCTGTAAATTCAGCCTTCTCATGTGGAACATACTGCATGCGGGATAGTATTTAAAAGGAATTCCTGCCATGTCCTAATACAAGCAGACTTCTCGAAAGCAAAAGTACATATATGTGTATTTCCATTTAGGTCATTATGCAGCCCTATGCAGTAACTATTCGAATAACATCTAGGGCGTCACTCAAGGTAAAACCAGGTACTTTATGAAGGGATATGTGAGGTAATCTTTCGGTGTGACACTTGAAAAGTCTACTCGAGGGGGATTCAGCAAAAGACAGTACCTTTTGAATATCAAGGCGATGACGAAGTCTGGATTCACTTTTATTCTCCAGTCACATTCTTTCCCGGGAGGATATGGCTGCGGGTAGTTAGGTGACAGAATGACACCCGCTGGGCCCGTCAGGTTCCCTCCACACGCAGCTGCCACGGAAGAGGGACAATGCTGGTCAAGGTGAAGTAGGACATCACAGAATTCATCAAGGGCACTCAGCATGTGTCAGGTTAGTAGACAATTATCTGGATGAAAATTTAAGGCCCAGGAGGTCTGTATGTTTTTCATGGACTTGTTCATGAATTTCATACAATGTCCCACCCTGCTTTTACGGAGGATTTGTAACTGTTGACAAATAAAGTTCAGTTGCTATGATTTTAAGCTCTACCCAGTTAAACAGATGACTTTACTCCCCCACACTCCTACAATGCACACAATACACGTTACAGAAACACTTGGAAAGGGAAAGAAATGGCCACGAATGTCACGTTATGGTCCTGCTGATTGTCCTGTCCTGTCGTAGGTTCACAAAGTCATTGCTGACTTCTTCTAGAAGGCATGCTTCCTGTTCACCTGTGTCTCACTAACACCTGGCACAGTTGTGATCAGGTATTCAGGGAATATTTGTTGAGTGAATGAATACACGTTATGCCAGGTATTCCCCAGAGTCCTCTGATATACGTAAGGTTTGGGATACAATTCAAAATGACAAAACTAACACAAAGTTTAAGTGACATCTGGGAATATGGAACCCGTAACAGACTGAGCCAGAACATCAATCTGGAAAATAGAATGTAGTCACAATGCTCAGCATGTTAGTATCAGAGAACAGTGCTTTAGATGATACTCATCAATCTACTTGGTTTTTACCTATCACTTTTTCACTACCTGTGTTTACATTTATGTTAGGAAGATAATAATTATGAAGTTCAGTGCTGTTAATAGGCAAGCCAATTTTCATTCTTGAACTTCAAAATGTTTAGGATGGTTTCATTTACTACATAGGATTTCTGTCAAATCTTCCATCATGTTTAAAGGTGTTAAAACACTGCAAAATTCACAGGTATACATTTTAGATGCACGGGTGAATATACAAGATTTATGGTTCTTCACAGCAAATACAGTGATTTCTCACCAAGTTGTCTTAAAAAAAAATCAGCCCAATTAAATTATAATGTTCTCCCTAAACTATATATCTTATTTCACATCACTGGCCATATATCCATTTAAGAGAAAAAAAAAATGGTAAGTAGAAAAAGAAACACCCTAACTGGCAATCTTTTATACAGAGACATACATACAGATGACTTTTATTGTGAATAATGCCAGTGTACGTGCTTTCTAATTTTTGTGACGATTGTGTCTTTGAATACTCATTTAACGTTCCTGAAAACTTTAATTTTCCATAAGAAGAAATGTAACACATTCCATTACTTTCTGTTATGATTTCAGTCTCACTAAAGGCAAACTCTAACTAGTATCACTAGTATTATAATAAATTCAGATATACATTCAAGAGTAATATAATTTTTGCAAAAATGGCTAAACCCACATGTCCCCCCAGCATCGAGTGTGACTGTAATAAACTCTGCTGGGACCACTGTCTACTCGGCTCTCCCAGAATCAAGTGGACGTTGACAGAGGAAAGCCAGGCAAGGCGCGGGTGGGGGCAGGTGGCGCTGAGATGGAGGGAGCAGGTACCTCCGGGTCTAGAAGATTCCGCCGCATGCAGGGTTTGCAAGATGCAGAACGACAGATTCAGGACACTGGCTACCAGGGTGTTGCCAGCAGGAAGAATGTGGGGGTGACACAAGGTACTGATTTAAGAGAAACCAAGAGGCATTCCTGTCTTATCCTGAGAGATCCAGGGAGGCCTTTTTAAATGAGGTTATCCAAGAGCATCCAGGGGAATTAAGTAGCGCTGTCTGGCTGTGTTTGTTCTCTCTTTGGGTCAGGCATTCAGTTTAGTTTCATTAGGTTGTAATTTGAAAGCTTGCAAAATATTTTGGACAGGATTACAGAATGTGACCCAGACACTTGGGGAAATACTCCAGAGGGAATGGACGTAGACACAAAACCCACAAATCTGTATCAATCCCCAGTGCCTCCTTCCCCAATCCTTAGGATCCCCTCCTTAAGGTACCAACAGCACCTCCATCCTTCATGGTGTGAAGCAGCACACTTGAATGAGACACATGCGTGTTTCTGCTTCGATACAACTCAGCGTTCACACCATTAAATGGCATAACTGGGCTCGAAAGAGCTGCCCTGGGGGTCAGGGCAAGAGGATGACACAAAATGAATTTCTGCAAACTTAGGGCAAATTCTTGCTCTTGAGAGCCATTTACAACTTGGAGTTGGAGAAAAGGTACTGCAGCCTGTACGAGGAAAGAGAGATTATGGGGACTTTGAGGGATCCTCATGCAGAACAAGAAAGTGGTGAGTGTCCTCTGGTCTGCAGACGAGTCCTCGGGAATCCGCTAAAAAATCCCAAAGGTAGTGCCTCATTCATTGGAGTCCTTTGATAAGTGAAAAAAGGGAGCTATCCAACGAGTCCACAGCAAAAATCAGCAGCATCAGACGAGGTGGTGGAAATAAGAGCAACATGCCAGCAGGTGAGAGGCTAAGGGATTTCAGAAAAGAGAGAGAAAGAAACGAAGATACGAGGGGAAACACTAATAATAATAAAAGGGGAAAAAGAAATTAGCAGGCCACCCAGTGCTGGGTTGAGCGCTGACTTTGACTCAGGTCATGATCTCGGGGTTCGTGGGTTCGAGCCCCGCGTCGGGCTCTGTGCTGACAGCTCAGAGCCTGGAGCCTGCTTCAGATTCTGTGTCTCCCTCTCTCTGCCCCTCCTCTGGCTCATGCTCTCTTTCTCCTTCAAAAATAAGTAAACACTAAAAATAACAATAAAAAAAGAAATAAGAACAGGGTTTTTTTTTTTTTTTTTTTTTTTTTTTTTTTGCCTCCTTTAAGGAAAATAAACACTCACTCATGGCTCTGTTGGTAATGTAAATTGGTGCAACCCTTCTGAGTTTTGAAAAATGTTTTAAAAGCTTAAGAAACACATACGTGTGTAGAAATATGTCATTTATAAATAATCAGGGGTGTGTTTTGCAACAAGAGGGTTCATTCTGGCAATCTTTGTGGTGGGGGAAGACTGAAGCGATTCTGAGTGCACAGTCGGAGGGGAGGAGAGCAGAGGATCCGTGTGGGCGGATCCACTCAGATGCTGTGCAGTCATGAAGAACACGCAGAAAGCACGTCACAGCACAAAAAGATCCTCATTTTGTTTCACGCTGGTAAGTCAGAGTGCAATTGACACAATAGGATGCTGTCACTTAAAAACATTTTGGAAATAGATTCGATAAACATAAAATAATTATGAAGCTTACTTATGTATGTTTGTGTTAATAGTATTTGCCTCCAAGTAGAAAGATGACAGCCTTTTGTCCTCTTTTCCCCCTTAACTAAACATGCATTATTTTTGAATACGGGGGAGAAAAAAAGGCTTGAAGATAAAAGAAAAACTGTTTTAAATCAGAAGAACAGAATTTATGTGCGTGCTAAGACATGATCGGCTGATGCCCCAGTTGACAAGTTTCTTACAGAAGACATAAGCCTCGTTTCTGGGAAAGAAAAAAAAAATATATATATACGTATATATATATATGTATGTATATATATATATATTTAAAATGTAATGAAAAGGTAAGATTCACTGATTCCCAAACACACATGTCCACATTTTCCATTTTCCCGTTACATGGTACCTATATGCATGGCCTGGCTGCCAAGATAACTGGTATTCATTTACCTGCAGGTGAGTTTAGCCCGTCCTCGGTGCTGATGCTCAATGTGCACAACAAACGCTGCCTATTTTCTCTGCTGGGAACTGGCTTCTCCAGCCATTGCTCAAAACTACGTCACTAAGATATAAACTAGCGAAAGGCGAGCGATTAGTTGGGAAGATGGTCACACTTTCCCAATGTCTACATTAATGCCAACTGAGAAATAATCTGGAAGTGTTCAACGGATAGCTGCACGGCTCCCCCATGAGATTAAAATCATGCAAACGGGGGGGAGTCGTTCCCAATTTAAAAACAGGGTGATGGTTTAAAATGCTCGTTGCATTTATAGGCAACCACTCTATCTTAAAAAGAAGCACGCAGAAATCTCGCAAATCTCCAGATGAGGCGGCTTGGAATGAAATGCAGCATGGCGCCCACAGAGTTGTGAAAGGTAGACGCGGCACAAAGCATCAGGTAAACAAAGGCAGCTCTCCGACGTGGCTGCACACGCTAACGAGCAGAACCATCGGATCTCATCCATCTTCAAACTCCTCTAAGTACTTAGTGATAAGTTATGAGCTGCGTAGCACAGCTCCCCGGGACCACGGAGAATCTCTCTACTGCTGCGTCGATGACAATAAAAATCATTTTAAATCACAGAATCCCCTCAAGTTCACCCTATGCAAAATGGCCTATTAACTATGTGCATATCATTTCATGATCACTTCCTCTCTTCACAGATTAATTAAATTTTACATTTTTCAAGCAGATCATAAAGAAGTCCAAATCCAACGGTGACAGTTCATTAAAATAATAAAGTTTAGCAGGGTTCCTTTCAAAAATAAGGTGCAAGAGGTATTTATGGTCAAACAGCTGACTGAATGAAGGGACACTCTATATGTAATTACTATTTATACAAAAATATGTATTTCCCTAAAACCGTATTTGTGATAGAGTTCGGTGAACAGTTATTCAAACAGAAGTCTGCAAAACCAACTGCTATCCTTTGAGTAAGGTCAACCTACAAAATCCTAGTGAATTTCAAAAACATGGTTCTCCTTTTATCTTCATTTTGACCAAGGCAGTATAATCTCTAGTTTTCGGGTTCTGTTCAAATATACTGATATTATGGAAAAACCATCTAAAAAAAGAAAATACTTCTTACTGAGTAGGTTTTGCTGAAGGGCATGTTTCTATGTCTAAAATGAGAATTGCAAAGGAAGGGTTATGAATTTTCAGCCACCCAGACTTTTAAGTCACGGTCATTTTTACAAGATCCGTTGAGGCTAGGACACGTTAGGTAACTGTCAATGACTGCACATTAAGTGAACCGCTTCCTTTATTTCACCTCATGAAATAAAGTTTCCAGGTTTACAGTGAAATCTCCATGGAGTCTGTGAACCAGAGGGCACGTGAGACATGTTTCTGAAGAACGAACACATTTATGGAGCAACGTTTAGAGTGGCGTGCGTGCGTTCCGAAACAGAACATGTCTGTTCTCTGCTGTACCATACCTATGCACGTGGGAGGGTCTGGCTGCCAGAAGTATCGGTTATTCAGCTGCACACAGGTGATTTTAGCTTGTCCTTGGAGCTGATATCCGGGGTCGCACTGGAAGGTGACGGTATCCCCCGGCTCTCTACTATCCCCGTAGCGGGTGCCGTTCTGAGGCAGGCCTGGGTCATTGCAGGTGGACGCGATGGATGCTGCGGAACAAAGGCAATACCAGGTCAAACGATGGACACGGGGTCCCCACGCTTGCACGGGTGAGGGAGCTCTTGTGTGCTGAGGCCCTCTTGACTGGCATCGGGATTCTTCCGTCTGCCCCTGAATGTATGAAGAGTTCCTGTTCCCAGGGATACGTTCAATAACCTGCATCCTGAGAATGCTCACTTTGAACAGACACAAGCAAAGTGTGTTGAAAACGCAGCCAGTGATGGAACGTATCAAGGAGTTGCATTATGCTATCCTTAATAAGCACACGTACGTTCTCCTCCGCTGTTCTCGTTAACAATATCTAAACGAAAATATAAACCACGATTGAAACTGCTTAATTAAACCACCACAATCTCAAAGAATGCGGAGTAAAACAGAACAGGACAAACTCCTTTACGTTCTGTGCCTTCCAGGCAACACCCGCTCACGATGACCTTTGACGTTACAACGGGGGCCAGCGAGAGAAGACGCGGGTCGGTCTTAACCAGGACACCATTCGTGGATAGCTGTAATTTTCTTGGTGCAATTATTAATAACCCCATTTCATGGTAAAATGATTAATAATCCCGTTTCGCTCTCAAAACACTTCCAATTCGGACAACAAATGAAACGGTCATCCTAATTTCAACAAAATTCTGAAAATGATGATTCTTGGTCCAAAAAAGAATCTAAATATTAGGAATTTCAAGTCAGTTTAGTAGAGACCAGCATCTCCAAACAAGCTGGTAAGAGAGCTTTGGGGGGACAGCCGGAACAGGAGCCTCTGAAGTCCTATGGGACGTGTATTGTAATAGAGGCACCCAAAATCACGTCCCACAAATCAGCCACCAGCTCCATGTGAGTCCAATCAACAGAACTACTTTCCCACCCAGATTCTGGACCAGGATTTTAACTCCCACAATGCACTGAAACGTAATTGCCTGAAAAGTCCTGTCACTGTCTCCAGTTTCTGTCACTGCTTCGTACTTGATGTTTTACTAAAACTTAGGAAGACGCCCATCAGGGTCCAAAACTGGAAATAATTTTTTGGATTCCATTTTCACTTTCACCTACAACGGCAAGCTCACTCCCTCTTCAGGGCCGAAGGGACTGTGATGGAAAGTTAGCTCTTCTTTTTTTTTTTTTT